TTTTCTTCCCTTCCTTTGTCTCTCCCTCCCCCTTCCTATGTGGACATTTTTCTCTCTGTTCTTGTCTGTTACTCAGGTTGGTTATGGGGGAGCTTTGGAGGACTACACAGAGACAGTTTTGGGAGAGTATGGGTTACTCCTGCATTAACTGGCCCTGTTAGGTGTGGTTCGTGTGCCTGCCTACATATGCACCCTGTGGTGACCGCTTTGAGCTGTGCTGTGTGTGAGGGTGCACACTGCGACTCACACCCTCAGTATGGGAGAAAGAATGCCAGATTTCCTGAATATTTTAAACTACTGATTACTTTTGGAGGTGGTCATATAAAAATATATATTAAATATATTAAAATTAATTTTCCCTGTCAGTGTTTTAAATTTTCAGCCTGACCACTAGCAAATTTAAAATTACATGCATGGTTTGGAGTTTTGGTTCACTTTATGTTCTACTGGACAACACTGGATTATTGATTCAGTGCCACCTCAGTGACAATCACGCAGCATTCTGCTTGTTTATGGGAGTTCATAAGCTGACTTTGAAATGGCAGGATGGGCCTTGAGCCAAGCCACTCCTGCAGAAGGGTGGGATGAGACCTGCTTAGCATACCGGTGGTCTCTCTGCTCGGGGCCCACTGGTGTGTTGGGCTGAATAGGCTGTTCAGGAAAGGCGTGGGAGACCGTCCTGCGCCTGGTGAAGGGATCGGGAGCAGCCTGGCCTTTATCCAGTAGGTGTCAGTAGCACCCTCACTTGGGGAAAGCAAAACTATTCTGAAGATGTTGCCATGTGGGTAATCTGTGCGAGGAATTTACAGAGTTGTGATGCATTGCCCTTGTGTTCTAAATTGCCTCCTTTTGAGAACTACCACCTCTGCTGGACACAAAGCCTGGTTACCAAGCCGTGTGACTTGGGATAAGGCTAACCAGCTGAATCAGTGGTACAGAATAGGAAGACAAAACGAAACTGGAGTAGGCTTTCACATGCATAGGCACTGACCTTACTGTATTTACTGGAACAGAATATCCACGTGAAAATAAGTTTAACCTCTAACCCCACACACAAACCAGCCTTGGTGCACTTTAGACACCAGTGTGAAAGGACTGCATTTCTAGGAAAAAATACATGGCTATCTTTATGTTCTTATTATATGGAAAGATTCTTTAAATAGACACAAGCACTAATCATGAAAGAAATTAACAATAAATTGGGGTTAGGTAAAATTAAGCATTGTGTGGAAGACAGTGGGAGAAGAGAACTGTGTTGTCAGAGACCTAACTGGAAGGTGAGTGGTCCTTCAGGAGGAGTACTTATGCAGTGGAGTTGTAAGTGACAGCATGTGGACACCAGATTCATTGAGAAGAGGTTAGGCACAAAAGAACATATGTCAGAAACTGGCATGGTGGCACATGCCTGTAATCCTAACACTGGGAGCCGAGGTAGGAAGATCATAGATTTAAACCCAACCCGGGCAACTTAGCGATTTAGTAAGAACTTGCTTAAAAAATAGAATTAATTAAGCAAGGGCCAGTGATGTAGCTTAGTGCCAAGGCCCTGGGTTTAATTCCCAGTACCATTATCTATGTGTATCTATATGTCACAAGAGCATTTTATATAAAATTTCCTCAAGCAGAAAGAATTAAACTCTAATGTTAGAAGACACAGCAGCAGTTTTTGGTAATAAAATTTAGAAATAACCCAGATGTCTAGCAGAGAATGGTTGAATAAATTGTTGTATTGTCATGCACTGGAATAACAGAAAGCAAACAAACAGCAGTATGTGGCAACATGGACAGTGTTATGAAGATACTGATGACAGACACCAGACACACCACAGTATATGACTCTTTATTTCATTTTTAAACACAGGCAAAATAAACACAACCTCCAACACTCAGTCAGGACCCGCCGTCTTTAGATAAAGGAGTGGACCCGACTGTGTGGACAGGCGTCCGGTGACGGCCACTTCATGGTCATTGCTCGAGCAATGACCTCTCGTGCCCTTGCGCTTCGCGTCTCTTCTCAGGGCTCCCCCTGCTTTGCAGAGTGAGGGAGCCCCTGCTCTCGATTGCGTCCCAGCTGTGGGGCTTTGGGCAGTCTCTTTGGAGACGCAGCCCGGTTCCCATCTGGGAAAGTGAGGACATCAGGTCAGGGTACACTCATGCCATTGTTTTGAATGTTAGTGTCATTGCCGGTTTATTCTTTCAGAGTAGTTGTTCAGGCTCATTTGGGATGATGTTCTATTTATAAATCCATCTCGACTTTTCCTGTAGACAGGTTTTGTTTAGCTTTCTTTAAAAAGTTTATTTTATTTACTGTAATGCATGTTATTTCATAGTCAATCACTTTACAATTGTAAGTCGAATATTCTTTGCCTTGTATTTATAATCGATTATGGCTGGTGTGTAATAGCCACTACTTGGTGTGATTTACTGCTGCTACATTGATTCTAAGTGCTACGTGGCTTAATACTTCTAATCCTGTGTAAAATCCCCACATTTTACACAGATAGCAACTGAGAAAAAGGAAAGTGATACCTCGTGCATGACTTGAGATTCACTGTATTCTCAGAATCCACATTCATTTTAACTGTTTGATAGCTAGCTACTTTTTCCTTATCTAGTTTTATAGTTGATGGTGTTAAGTTTTCAAGAAGCCTGGTCCTTACAATTAATCATTTTTTGGTATACCTTCCAGTAATTTCTGTCCTGGCCTTCTTGCTTTGACTACAACTTGCAGAAAGTGTTAAAATAAAAAAATAATACCATGAATGTTCTTTTTATAGTCTGACTCTAAAATAGGTTGCCTTTTTTTCAAGCACTATGAATTTCACGGACTATTGACTAGATAACGTTTTTCTTTACATTAAAGATATGTTTTTTAATGTTTGAATTTACCAAGTGATTTTTGATTTGTTGTTTTTTGTTTTAAAGTCAGGGTTAGCTTTTAAAGGTATCCAGTACTTTTGGATATCTATGAAGATGGTTTTTCTGTGTTGAATTATTATGTTACCATGTCTTGTCTCCCAATATGAATCATATTTATTTTTTTATTTTAAATACAATAAAATCCAACAGAACAAAGCCAACCAAAACAAAGTGAAATTGATCAGAACTTGGAAGCAGGATGGTAGGAAAGCGACCTTGGCTACCTTACTTAGTATGTTTTGTTATCTTCACAGTAGTTGTCCATTCCATCAGGTATAGCAAAATCAAACCGCAACAATACAGAATAAAACCAGTCAAAACAGAACATTGAATAAAGCAAAACAATTAATCAGAACAAAGCAAAACAGTGAGAACAAGATTGGCTTTCAAAGACAAGATAGAAGGAAATCCCCTGTATTTGCTATATTGCATAATCATCTTCCAACAGATGCTCAGACCCAGGCCTGCAAAATCAACCAAATAATACAAGCATTTAGTTACTTTTTGTACCTCGGTTGCTATTAACTCAGCTGGTTGCTTGGGGGGGTGGTGGTGGTGGTGATTCTCAGTCCGCCTGCCATAGGCTCATGGAAGCCGCTCTTTGACTCTTCTTTTCCTGGACCTCGAGTGGCTTGCATGGCTTCCCAGCAAGGCTGGCTAGCTGGCTTCTTGGTGGGCTCCTCCCAGTCCCAGCGTGGCCGATTCTTGGGAGGTGCTGACTTTTCTCTTCTTGAAACATCTTTATATTCTTGGAATTTTTTAGCATAGTACTGAATTTTATTTTCTAAGATTTTTGCTTATATAAGAATGAGATTGGTTTGCAGTGGGTTTTTTTCCTTTTTTTTAGATTTAACCTTGGAAGAATTATAGCTATGTAAAAGGGAGCTTTACATATTATTACCAAAAGAAAGGAAAGATTTTCTTTTCTTGCATTATCTAACACATTTCCAAAGCAACTTTTGAGTATATGTGAGTAAATACGCTTGGAAACACTATTTTCCAATATATCTGCTGAACATTCTTCGTTAAACATCTCTAGGTTTTCTTTTCTTCTCAAGGTCTCAAGCATTTCTTTTTTCTTATTAACTGTGGAAGATTTCAGACAAAGCCAGGCATGGTGGTACATGTGTTTAATTCCAACATTCTGGGAGGCTGAGGCTGGAAAATCACAACTTGGAGGCCAGCCTGGGCAACTTAGCAACTTATGAGACCCTGTCTCAAAATAAAAAGTGAAATATGGCCAAGAATATAACTTTAGTGTGAAGGCCCTGGGTCCAACTGCTGAGTTCTGACCACAAACAAACAAGCAGTAGTAAAGGGATTAGAATCCTTTGTTCATGTCTTCACTTTGCTTTTCTCTCCATTGTTTTGGGCCTTGTTTCTTACTGGGGAATTCACAGGACATAGGCCCCCCCCCCCATACCTTTGCTATACTTCAGATACTAAGCCATCAGTTTGGTTGCAAGAACTTTTTCAATAAGTCCTTGTATCTTTAATCATTTCTTTTGGGTCCTGCATGGGAGCTACAAAGTAAAAGGGTGTAAGCTCTTTGGGAAGTGCCTACATCTCTTGGTTGCATGGTAAACAAACATGAACATTGATGGCCTATCATGTGCGTTCTCTGTGAACGAAAAATGCCAAGAGGTTATTCAATAATGAGAAAGCAGAAAACGAAGACAACAGTAATAATCCTTGTCATAACAATTTGAATGGTCATTAACCAAAAGCCTAAAGGTTACTTGAATTAATTTTCCCACAGCCTAAAACCATTTCATCAATTTGCCACTGCTTACTGAATTGAATTGAGTGTGTATGTCACAAACCTCTGGGTACCTAACATGTTCGGTGTGGTGAGGGACAGAAAAGTTATATTTTAACACCTGTGCCTCCAGTAAGGCATAGGAGAATCTTATTTCATGTTAACATCTTTTTTTCATCTGTCCCTCAAATGTAACTTCAGTTTACGTAAGTTCATACTGGGATTCACCTGACCAGGTTCTCCGTAGATTGAAAAAGTTTGAGAATTTTCCTAATAGGTGATTTCCGAGATTACAGCAGAGTTGATCTTCCTTTTGTTTTAGCGACAGCGCACCGTCTACAGATTGACCTTGGTGAAGTCCTGGAACGTGGACGAACTCCAGGCCTACGCGGAGCTGGTGTCCCTCGGGAACCCCGACTTCATCGAAGTCAAGGTAAGCCCTGCTGCTGGGCGTGGCTATGACCTGACCGAGATGCTGTTATATGCTCTTATGGTTGTCAAGGAAACCCAATGTAGGGGCACACACCTGACATCCCAGCACTCTTGGGGCTGAGGCAAGAGGATCACAAGTTTGAGCCCAGCCTGGCCAACTTATCAAGACCCCATCTCAAAATGAAAATCCAAGGACCTGAGATGTAGCTCAGTGAGAAGACTGGAGATTTAATCTCCAGTATCCCTCGCCCCCATCAAACCAAACCAAAAAACCTCTGAAGGAGTCCCTAGACCTTTTATTTTCTCATTCATTCAGCTGTATTGATAATATCAGTAAAGCAGATTAGACTTGCTCTTAGAAAGCTTGTATTTTAGTCAGAGATAGACAATACAAAATGAACATTTCTATGGTGATGTTAAGCCATGCAGTGAAGTGTGGTGATGAGTAACTGGTTGACTTTTAAATAAACTTGGTGAAGAGATAGTCAAACATATTACAGGAAGAGATAGTCAAACATATTACAGCAGGAGACGGACGGTCCAATGAGCCCCCATCTGTGCGTGCATCGGTCACTCGGCCTTAACAGGTAGCGCGCCGTGAGCAGAGCCCTGCCCTGGCTGAAGCCCCGCCTGGAGTTGGTGCACTGGCCCCCAGCTGCACCTGCCACCTTTGTGACCAGTCTTGGGCAGCGTTGGCCCTGATGGTTTTCCTGCTCTTACCCCCGAATGTCCTGAAGCAGCTCCCCAACACTGTCATCAGTCCACAGCTGTGCCAGTGAGTATCTCTAAAAGACACAGACTCTTTAAAACCTGTGTTCATCCTACCAGACTCATACCTACAAACTCAGTTATTGAAACAGAGTTTTCAAATTTTTGCAGGTATTCCTAAGTGTACACTTTTTATTCTGTAAATGTAGTATTTATTTTGATTTAAACTATTTTTGAACAGGGATCCAAATGAGGAACATACATTACAATTAATTTTTCTTCTTGAACTTCTTTTAGTTTCCCAGTTCCTCTTCCATCATACTTCCGCATTATTCTGTAAAAGGGCGGGTGAGGAGGGAGGAGCAAAAATGATCCAGATGGTGTAAGAAGAAAGAGAATCAGGGTGGTGGCCGGCTTCTGTGCGGCTGGCTCTGCAGGTGTTGCCTGCCTGCTTCTGTGTCCCCTTTCCTGTGGAAGAGGACTTAGATCCGGAGTGGCAGTGCGCATCCCAAGAATGTTTCCGCGGTGAGGCTGAATATATTCTCTTAGGAGGTTAGTAGTGTCCGCTCGTCTAGTTGGTGTTTTTGCCAGTATTTTTACGGGATGGGTTTCGTTAAGTGCCATTTCTGAGTCAGCATATGTTGTTTGCTCGATCTTCTGGTTGACCATTTCAGGCAGATTTTCCTGAGAAGATGATTTGCAGGAAACCAGGTCACTGAGTACTAAGGACCAGCCACACCCCAGGCTTAGGCTGAGAGCCCCCCAGGGGGACGCTAGGTGCCCAGGGAGACCCAGTGGCACCCTCGAGGCTGGCAGTGGACCCGAGGAGGAAGTAGAGGCGCAGGCGGGGCAGACTGTGCTAGGCCTTTCAAGCAGAGATGCTGGCATGGGACTTTAAACCAAGTCTGGCAGTGAGCTTTTTAAACAGCAGTATTGAATGAAGCCTGGGAGTTCTGCGCCTGAATTTTGAAGGCACCCCCCCTGCTGCTGCATTACGAATGGCCAGCAGAGGGCAGTAGTGGTCGGTATACCTGCGAGGATTGTTTTGCTTTATCCTAGCAAGATGCCCAGTGCCTTAGCTGGAAGCAGTGAGTTTAGGGCCAGTTTTGGAAGTGGCGTTAACAGGATTCGATGAGAGCTTAGACGTGCGCCTGGAAGACAGAGGGGCTGGGCACAGCATCTGGGTTTTTGGCTTAAGCAATCGTGCGGAAGGTGGGGCTGTGTGTTGGGCGAGAGAGAATAGGGCATGTCTGGGGAGAGAATTTGAGGGTTCCTTCTTGGGCATGTTGGATTCGAGCTGTCTTTTAAATATCCAGATACAGATTCCATGAGGCTGTGGGTTGTACACGCGTTGGGCTTGAGTGTAAGGCAGGACTGTAAGCTGATTTGGAAGTCATCGTGTGAGATGGCAGTCATGGTGGTGGATGGTTAAGAGGCAAATGGTTTGGTTTTGGGGGGTAAGTCTCCCCATAAGGAGCAAGAAACAGGAAGGTGTACCCTGACTCTAAAAGCAGAGTCTGCCTATTCAGCATATGTTTTTGCAAACGCCCCCTGGGTTATGTGAGAGGGTGTTCAGTTTCACACCTCAAGTGGATCTGCTCTGGAAGCCAGGGTGGGGCTGGGGACAGGAGGGCTGTGCTCCAGCGTGTGTCACTGTCTCAGCTGCAGCCAAAGACTCTTTTTTCTTTTGAAATTGCTTTTAATTTCAAATGGTTACTCTTGGCAAGAGGTTTAGTGATGCAGAGATACAAATACAGCTGAAAATATATATCCCAGTTAAAGAAAAGTTTGCCAACATGAGAGATTAGTGGGCTTTTAATTTATGATTTAGCTATTACAGAATGCTGCTTCAAATTATGCTACTGTAAAACCTATTATTATAAAGCAAGTTGGCTGATGATTAGTCACCTTTTTTCTCCTCTTTCTTTCTGCAGTGAAAAAGTTATTTTATAATCAGAAAAAAAGTAAACATATTTTGAAGGGAGATATCTATTTTGTAAACAGGATAATTCTGTGGTAGGCTTTTTTTTTTTTAGTTTGGCAGGCTGTTAACATTACTCAGAAATAGCCTTTGTCCGTATCTAAGATGTGATAAAAACATGGCTTTGTCCCAGAAGGTTTCCCACTTTACTGTCTTATTTCTACATTCAACAATATTTGTGAGCAATGGTTTTTTTTTTTTTTTTTTTTTTGGTATCAGAGATTGAACTCACGACCTTGCACCTCCCAGGCAGGAGCTTTCGCCACTGAGCTAAAGCCCCAGCATTTGTGAGCCCTCTTTATGTGCCAGCTCTTGTTAAATAACTGGAGATAAAAATAATTGCTAAGACATGCTATTTAAGAGATGATTATCTTATTGAATAGGCAAAATCTATAAAAATAAAATGAGCTGTTTTGAGAGATTTAATAATTGAAAATTCTTAGCGAAATGTGTAATCAGAGCACAATTTAAAGTGCTCTTAATAGTGAAGTGTAGGTAATAGATGACAGCCTGTGTTATATCAGGGGAAAGTGTGGTCACAATGAGCCTGACTTTTGTAGACAACCTTAGGTACAAGTGTCCTGCGGTGTCAGTTACCTGCTCCATCCAAGGATTAGAGCACATCTTTGTTAACGCACTTCTCTTCTCTCTAGCAAGTTAATAAAGTGTCTTCTTTTGAAGTGAAGTGGCAGGAAGGATGTAATAGACTACTAAAAAACAAGCTATCATAGAGCAATATTCCTGACTATTTTCAGCTGCATGTGTTCATAAATACATAGGAAAGCATGGAAGGCTGTGTAAGGTCGTGTGACACTTACTAATAGTTTTCTGTTTGGGGGAAAGGAAAGGACTTAATTTTTACTTTTCATAATTCTGTATTTATCAGTTATTATAATGAGCATGCATTAATTTTGTAATTTAAAGGACTGCAATGGGGCTGGGGTATAGCTCAGAGGTAGGGCATTTTCCTGGGTTCAGTTTCCAGAACCATAAGGAGAAAAGGGTTTTAAGAATTAAGAATTAAAATCAGTACACTGAAAAGTCATGTTTTCCTACTTAACAGAAGGAAAGTACTTAGTGTCTAAAATCTCATCTTTTTGTTATCTTATTAAGCTTAAGTTTTTCTAAAATAGGAGCATTTTAAAAATAATAAGTCCTTTCCAAAAAAATTTTTTATTTTTGCTGAGAACTGGCAATATGGCAGGCTAAGATAACCTGAAATCTCTCCAGAAATAAACACACCAACGTGCATGTGTTAGGGAAAATGTACTTTGAGAACACAACTAATCTGTCAGATCTGCAAGGAAAACCTGTAGGGGAGAAGAGAGATTGTCCTGGTGGTCGTCTGCAGGTCCACTGGGCACTTGAGCTTAAAGGAAGGTTGTACTCTTTCGCCTGAGTGGCAAGCTGGATTAGGAAAAAGCCTACCCACCCACCCTGACTAACTTGCTTTACCTATGCTTTTGGTAAAAAATAAAGCCTCTCCAGTCTTGGTAGTTCCAATATAACAGTACCTCAAGATTAAAGAGCACGCGCAGGTTGTGCAGTTAATGGTACAAGTTGTGCCAGAGGCTCCCTGGAGAAGCAAACACAATGCGGTCACAGTCTTTTTTGTATTTCAGTTGCATTGCTCTGTATTATTTGAATAAGAACATATGTGTGTGTTCATATTGCACTGAGCTGTTTACAGATTACTGAATATACTTTGAAGCTTCTCACCGTTATGTCTATTCAACTTCTTTTCGTCATTCTTGTCTTGTAGCTCTACTCCGGTTTAGTGGTAGGATTAGGAGCTTGATAGGAAATTTTGCCAACCTTTTTCCATCTTTACACTTTCTGTCTTCATCATATTTGTGATCTTAAAGGAAAAGCGTTGTTCTACCTCCGCTCTTGTGAGAAGCCATGGTAGTAACACCCTTGGGTCAAGCAGGAAAATTGTCAGTGTAGGGCTGGTGCTGCGGCCAATCGGCCTTCACCATCCCCTCTGTGGATGTGGGGTTCTGGGGGTCCCTCATGGTCTGCACAACTGCAGTCTCAGACGGGCAATTGGAAGAGCAGTTTTGATCCATTCTTAACATGTAGGGATGTAGCCTGGACAGATTACTTAATTTCCTTCACCCTACATTTTCTCAATACTACAATACAAAAATTAGAATAATAGCATCTATTTAAGAGGTTTGTTTTGAGAATTGGGATAGCCTGTTCCTGTGTTCAGTAAATGTTGAGATCACTTTCCATTAGGCACATTCATTGAAACTAAATCAAAAGAAGCAATTTCTTTATTATATCGATTTCCTCTTTCCTTTCCTTGGCAGTCTTATAAACTATTTTTGTTATATTCCCTGTAAATTAGCATGCATTTTAGCTTCATTAGGCTTAAGTGGGTCTTTCTTTGCTAGTCTGAGACTCCTAACTGTCACTTGGTTGCTTATTTCTGAAGATGTGTTTTATATTACAAACATCTGCTTTCCTGAAAACTTTAGTGATGCAGTCCTTTGTCAGTGAAATGCTGTCATTGTATTCTGTGCAGCATGTCGCACAGTGAGGACACTAAGTGCTCAGTAATTATTTGTTGTCAAATGATTTCACCTGCTTTCCGTAGCACTGTGCCTGTCTGCAGTGCTCAATCTCTGCAGTGCGCAACTTGCAGAATGATTGCCCGCGCGTAGCCCAGCCTCTGTCCACACAGGGGCGAGGAGCTGGCGCTGGTTCCTGGTGGAGCAATGCTTGAGTGCTGTTTAGCATTTTGGTTCATACTCGGGGAAGAGTAGGAAACCTGAACAGTATGAGTGAGCGCGCATGCGAGGAGAGCTCCGAGGAAGGCGGGCCTGGTCTTGGCCGCTGAGTGCAGGCCCTGCTGTCTGGAGCCCAGCAGGGCTCTGTAGTCACAGGCCCCTGTAGTCACAGCCCCACGCTGGTCACCTGGTTCCACCGGGCGTGAGGGGACGAAGGCCAGCTGGAGAAAGGTTCCCTGGTGACTAGGGCAGCCTAGCCCTGAGGACACGTGTGGACATGTGGGGACAAGCTTGATTCACACAGCCCTGGTTAGAAGAAGACTACAGAGAAGGCAAAAAAGGCTTCATTCTTCGCGCTGAGCCCCTGGGGCTGCTTTCGGAGGGGTGTGGTTGAAGCGGTTTTGGACTAAAGGAGTGACATGTTTTGAGTATGTTACCAAAAAATCTCATGAAGTCAGTATTTCTTTAGTCATCAAACTGCAGGGGGCAAAAACAGCATTAGGAGTTTCTTGGTTTCCATTTAGTCAGATAGAGTAGAATATGGTAGTTAAGCTATGGAAGTCTTGCGCTTCCCGCAGGACGCCACATTAAAACAGAGCTTTGGTGGCCATCATATCCTAGAGCAGTGAGATGCATCAGTCACTGGGTCAGAAGGACGTGGGCAGTGTGTTATGTTCCTGTTCTCCATAGCATCCTTCGGGTGAACTTGGCATTGCCCAGCCTATGGGACCTGGCGTGAGTGGTTGATCTTCAGCTCCATGCTGCACCCCTTTGTTTTCCGCAGGTTGTCTGGGTTCACAGCTGGAGGTGATGAATGGGGCCACGGAGGGGAAGGTGGCAGACAGCCACCATGGGGCGGGGGAACAAAAAGTGGTTTTAGATAACTCAGGGTCTGCCGGGCTCAGGGGAGAGGTCAGAGCAGCCAAAGCAGGGCGACCACAGACCTGGAAGGCTCAAGAGCCAAAACCCACGAGTCCCTCAGCAGGTGACCTGCACCCTAAGTTCCCGGAGGCCATTTTCTGCTCCGAGAATTTTTGTCATAGTGAAGAGGCGCTGCCCCAGTGCTGTTTACCTCCGAGGGCTTTGTCTGAGTGAGTAAAAGCGCTGCAAAGCGCCCAAGGTGGTCAGGAGAAGCTTCTGTGAAGGCGAGACAGTGAGCTGAGGCAGGCATTTTCTTACAGTATTTCCAAACCAAATCTCCCTTAATGTTTCGTGGTTTCTTATTGCCGACAATAAAGTATTACAGTATTTTCAGGAGTCATTGTCATGACTACAATTTTATCCAAAATCTGTGGTTTGGTGAACTTTTTAAATATTAAAAAGAGATTCCTAGGGCTGGGCATTTAGCTCAGTGGCATAAGCGCCTTCCTTGCAAGCAGGCAGTTGTGAGTTCGATCCCTGGTACCGATAAAAAGGAAAAAGACAAAAAAAAAAAAAAAAAAAAAGAGAGAGAGAGAGATTCCTCTGAAGTAGCTATGTACATGATTGTATAATTCACAAAACACAAGGGGTATTTAAATTGAAACTAAGTACACATTGTGACCTATCAATAAATCCCTTTCCTGTTTGCTTATGCATGTGGGAGAGTTTAACAGTTTTTCAGCCACACTTTCTTGATGGTATTTTGAACTATATTATTATTTGCATTTTAAAAAATTCACTGGAAACTCAAACGTGATTTAATGAATTCTGTAAAACGCTGGGTAAATAGAGAAGACTTTCTTGTTTACTGTAATTAAGCAGGCTGTGGGTAGTTTATATGCAGCAAAGCCTGCCGCAGTTTAGTGAGCAGTCATCTTCGGGAGCAGCCATCTGGAGAAGCAGGTCTCAGAACTCCTCGGAGTCTTCGGCCAAGTCCCAGCCCTGCCATCTGTGGGGCAGGGTCACTCTGAAGTGCTCATTTGATTTTTTAAAAAATTTACCATCATTCTACCTCTTCTAGTCTGTGTGTGTGTGTGTGTGTGTGTGTGTGTGTGTGTGTGTGTGAGAGAGAGAGAGAGAGAGGCAGAGAAACTATGAGTGTTGTGTATCTCCTTTTATGTTAATTTAATTTAATTTTCTTATTTTTTTGTCTTTTTGAGACAGGATCTTCCTATGCAGTTTAGGCTGGCCTTGAACTCACTTTGTAGCCCAGAATGATCTTGAACTTGCAAGGATCCTCCTGCCCCAGCCTTCTGAGTATTGGGATTACAGGTGTGGGCCACCACGCCCAGCAGCCTTTATTTCATTTTTAACTACCTAGAAGACATTCAAACCATTTTTCAAGAAAGTTTGATTTGGGGGTAGTTGAAAAATACACAGACCTAATAAAATACCCTTATTATTACAAAGTTATTCCCCTATCATTATGTAATTTACCAAGCAGAGGATTTACCAAATTATGAAACTTGAGATATGCCTAGGCTGTCAGGCAGAGTTCGAAAGAGTTAGAAACTGACCTGTCTGATTACAGTTGCATTTCATAGGAAGTCCTGGATTGGCAGGGTAAATGCATGCCTATGAGAGTGCTTGGCAGGTTATGTAGGTATACCCACAAACATATTTCTCTTTCAACACGATTCTTTGTTTTTGGATATTCACATTCAAAATGCTTCTCAGAGATCCCTATTTGGCCGTTTTACAGAAAAAGCACAGCAAGTGCGACAATCTCGATCTCAGCTATGCTGAGGGCCGGCAGCTTGCCTCATTTCCCAGGGAATTGGTTGGTCAGTGAACTTTTATGAGTATCTGAAGTGTGACAGCTCTATCTCAGTGGTGCTAGCCCTAGGGCAGTCGTGGCAAACCTATGGCACCTGGGCTCCAGTGGGCTCTGTGTACCATTGAGAGCTCCCAAAGGTTTGCCATCACTGTGCTAGGGGACTGTAAGACTTTTAGAATTAATCTGTTACAGTACGTGAAATCTGTTGCTCTACGTGGAAAGATATGCTGTTGATGCCCATATGTTACAGTGCCTTGATGGCTGTGGGTGTCACACAGCACAAAACACAGGTGCTCACCGGCCTGGGTCCCCTGGTACTATCACTAACACCTTGTGTGGCCTCCTCAGTTTTTATCTACCACCTTTTTTATTTCAGAATATGGATTGGATTGAATTGGATTAGGTGACCTAGAAAATGTCTGGCTCTGAATTCTTTGTGAATTCAAGTGTGTCCGTAGCTGTCTCTGACTGGTGTGATGTTCCCCAGGGTGTTACCTACTGCGGAGAAAGTTCAGCAAGCAGCCTCACCATGGCCAACGTGCCCTGGCATGAGGAAGTCATCCGCTTTGTGCGTGAATTGGTGGATCTGATCCCTGACTATGAAATAGCATGTGAGCACGAGCATTCCAACTGCCTCCTGATAGCGCACAAAAAGGTAAGAGTAACTGAGCGTGCATCCGTCTGTTCTCTTTAGTCTTTCCTTTGTTTTTTTAATTTCTCCTCACTTTATTGTCGTGAACCTTAGCTTTTCTGCTACCTTTCCTAAAACAAACGTTGACAAAGTCCCAAAAAGAAAAAGCCCTAAACTCTGTCTCTAAGGTTTATAAACTATTCTGGGGGAAATTGCTTCTGTTTTTAGCCTTCATGTAGCATCTTAAAGTTCTTTCTGGTTTGTAATTTTTAAAGAGGTGCATACTAAAAATAAACAAAAAATACCCTTGTAATAACCTCTACACCATTCCTGGGATGACAAGGAAAAGGTGAAGTAGTAAACAATACCCATATGAGGTTCTGGTTGTCAGAAAAAATATTGAGGTATTTATCACATTTCAGGTTGCTTTGAGTTTTGGCATTGGGAGAATTTGGTTTGCGATGGCAGTACTATTTTTGCTTTTCTCCTTAGTGCTTTTATTTGTCAGAACAAATACCCTAATCTGATGTCTTTTTAAATGCCTAACAAAGAAAAAATGCAGTTCTTGGTGAGGTAGCCACTAGCGTAAGAAGAAAAACACCTAATACAGTACAGTGTTCGTGGGGCTGCCGTGATGGTTATGTCCTTGCTGAAATATTGACAGAGAAACAATTTGTGATTTGATTCAGACTGAGAGAGGGCGAGGAGGTCGTGGGTACATGGATGGGGGACACCTAACAGTCATTACACTCCTCTGCCTAGTTTTAAGACTGGATATGGGCAAACCTTGCAAATGTAATTTTAGGTGAAAAATACCAGACCCAGAAAGGCGTGTATTGTATGGTTGCATTTATAGGAAACGTTCAGAATAGGCAAATCCATCGAAACAGGAAGTGGCTGGTGGTTGCTGGAGGCTGGCGGAAGAGCAGACTGGGGAGTGGCTGTCAGAAGGTGTGGCCGTGTTCTGGAATTGCACAGTGGTGTACATGTGCTGTGCACCATGACTGTATTACAATCATGATTGTATTACAGACCACTGAATTCTATGCTACACGAGCCGTACCGCAGAAGCAGTAAGTTAATACCAAGAAGCAGTAAGGTCAAGAGGCGCTATATTGCTTACGTAATAACTAAATGCGCTTTATGTAAGTAAAGTCATTTCTAACCTGGACAATGAAAGACTCACCGCCCCCCGCAACCTAACTTCCTGCAGATTTCTAAGGTTAATGATATTTAATAACACAGCAATCACTTGATTAAAATTTCACAAACTAGTCTCAAGTACAAGATGAAAAGCACAAGGTAAAAAGGCCTTGTACTTTGATTAAAGGTAGATTTTCTGTATGTGACCCGTAGTCTGTGATGGACTTCACCAGTTAGGGAGAACATGTTCTAGGAATATCAAGGATCTGGGGTTTGAGATGCTAAAGTAGCTTCAAAGAAAATGAAATTACCAAAGTAAATCTCTAAGAAATAAGAAAGAGGAGAGCCCAAGCTAGTGCATTGCTGTTTGCTTAATGCTTGTCGAGTATCTGTGTGTGTCTGGTGCTGCTCTGGTTCCTAAGAACCTTCACCAGTAGCCTAACAGAAAAATGCACAGGTGAGAAAAGTGCCCAGAAGTGGTCTGAGAGCCTCCAGGAGAGGCTTCGAGAAGAGCTGCTGGAAAGCTGGAGCCCAGGAAGGAAGGTTAGGAGGCAAATGCATGTGCGGCGCCCTTGGAGAAGTGTGGAGGCCGCGTGGCAGCACCACTGGAGTTGGGGTACCTGGAGGCTGAAAGAGGGGATCTGGCTGGGCAAGACCACAAACAATATTGAGCAGCATCTAAACTGTTGTTTCTGTTGGGCACGGGAGGCACCGAAGGGTTTTAAGTAGGGAAGTGGCTGTCTACCACATTGTGGGGCACAGGTTTGCAAAGAAGACGGAGAAAACAGTGGAAGAGCAGTGGTGACCACAGGTAAAATGATGCAGATCCAATACACTGTGCAGCCGTGCACTGTCTTAGAGTGTTGCTCAGTTTCTGCTGGTAATCACAGGGCTTCTGAAAGACACTGCAAGTCCCACCCCTGCTGAAGAGCTGCTGTCCTAAGGAAACTAAAAGCTAAGTCCTTTTATTTTAAAATAGTTGGTAGACATTCATGGGAAATTGCAAAATTGTACAGAGGAGATGTCGTATCCCCTTTACCTCGCTTTTGCAGGTAGTAAGATGTTACATGACTGCAGTGTGTTATCAAACCTGACAGTAGCACAATTCCTTGGCCTTAGAGATTTCACTGATTTTAATTATGCATTTGTGTGTGCACGTACATGTGCAGGTGCACGTGTTTGTCCTTCTATCATGTTTTTTTTTTTTTTTTTTTTTTTGTCTTTTTCTTTTTTATCGGTACCGGGGATCAAACTCTCGACTGCCTGCTTGCAAGGCAGGCACACTTATGCCACTGAGCTAAATCCCCAGTTTGTATTCAAGTAGCCACCACCACGATCAAGATACGAAGCTGGGTAGGACTCGGGTCGTAGCTCAGTGGTAGAGTGTGTTTGACGTGCATGAGGTCCTGGGTTCCATTCCCAGCACCAGAAATAACAAAATGAAACAAAACTGTCCTGGGCGGGGGGAGCTGGGGATTTAGCTCAGCGGCATAAGCGCCTGCCTTGCAAGCTCATGGTCGTGAGTTCGATCCCCGGTACCAATAAAAGAGTGCAAAACTGTCCTAGGATCATCAAGATTATTCTCACACGGTTTCTCTAGACCAGACCATCTCCATCCTCAGCTCTCTGTAGCTTTTGACGACCACTAATCTGTTCTTTCTCTCCCAGTTTTTCATCTGTAGAGTGGTGTAAGCAGAATTATAAAATATGTGCCCTTTTGAGATGGACATTTTTCTCGCTCAGCTGATTTCCGTAGGATTCATCCCACTTAGCGCGTGTGTCAGTAGTGTGTGGTGGCTGTGCCATTTTACATTCGCACCAGCAGCGTGTGAAAAATTCAGTTCCTGCCTCCTTGCCAGCAGTCAGTATTATCATTAATTTTATAGTTGGCTGTGCTAATACATTTTTAGTGGTATCTCATTGTGTCTTAATTTGCATCTTAATACATTCTTTCCATTTATTTAGATCTTTGGTTTTTTTAATCAGCATTTTGTAGTTTTCGGTATACAAGTCCTAGCTTGTTTTGTTAAATTTATATCTAAGTTGTTGCTGAGCAGTTATAAATGGTGCTATGCTTTCATTTCCTTTTTTATTTGTTCACTGCTAATATGCAGAAATAGAATTGATTTTTATATTTTGATCTCATATTCTGAAACTTGCTGACCTCACTTATTTTAGAAGTTTGGTGGGGGTGGTTTTGGTTTGTTTCGTCTTTTTTTTTTTTTTTTTTCATTTTCCTGGGATATTCTGCAGAGACCATTATATCATCCACAAATAGGATGTTTTATTTCCTCTTTCTAATTGATAGCCTTTTAGTTCCTTTTATCACTTATTTACACCGGCTATCACTTATTTACACTTCAGTACCTCATGGATTGCCTGAGCGTGATGGCCAGTCCTGATGCTTTTCCTGGACACAGGGGTAAAGCAGTTCTTCTCTCACTGCTTCATTTGATGTCAGCTATAGGGCATTTGTTTGTTTATTTCCATATTCTTTACTAGGTTGACAAGCTTCCCTGTATTTCTAGAGTTTTGCATGTTGTAGGTGAAGTCAAATTCTTTTCCTTAACTGATGCTGACCCTGAGCAGTGCCTGCTGCCTGATGTGCGTAGAAGCCAGTACCTTAGCACTGGTTTTTACAAGAAGCAAGTGCTTTATGGAAAACTGGGTGGCGGGGGCAGGAAGCGCCCTTAGATCTACCAGTGCGGAGAGCTGGAAGGGCCTGGGGAGTTGGCGGGATTGAAAACATCTTGGGTTTTCACTGTGTCAATTCTGCCTTTTGAGGTTCTTTACTGTTTTAATTCTGTTTTGAAATTTCACGCTCAGCCTCCTTCAGTTGTGACCTCAGTCTCTATAGCTCCTGGTCCCAAATCTAGCATTCAGTAGGTTTGAGATTTTAGTTCCATCTTAGGAGCCACCTTTGTTAGACTTCGAAGTGTTTCACGGGACAGTAAAATGCCCTAAACAGGAAGTAAGAACATAGAAGTTACTTTTTTTTTCCTTTCCTTCTTTCTTTTCTTTTCTTCTTCTTCTTCTTTTTTTTTTTTTTAAATGCTTAGCAGTAAGGAAAGTGCTGAATCCATTGTGGTTTGGCCTTTTTTTGTTCCAGGAATTGAACTCATGACCTCACGCTTGCCAGGAAGGTGCTTGCCAGGCAGGTGTGTGTGCCACTGAGCTAAATCCATGGCCTGGTTTGGGCATTTTTAAAGGGAAAGGAGGCTTTAGCCTAGATTTACAGAAAGAAAAATTGCAAAAGACTGGCTCTGTTAAATGAGGCCAGGCCAGCTGTGTTTGTGAGCTGAAATCATGAAAAGTACATTCAGTCCTTGCATGCAGTCTGAGAAACAGAGACCTTAATCGTTTTATTGGTGACATTTCAAAGGGGTGGCTTGCAGGTTCTTGAGAGAGTCTTGTGAATTGTAAGAGATACATACATACAGCTAGCTGGTCTTGGTGCTTCACACCTGTGATCCCAGCATTTTGGGAGGCTGAGGCAGGAGGATCACAAGGACACATCCAACCCGGGGAAATTAGCAACCCAGGGAGATCATGTTCAAAATTTTAAAAATAAACCAGGCCGTGGATGTAGCTCAAGGTAAAGGCTCTGGAGTTTATCCCCAGGATGAGAGTGGGGTGGGGTGAGAAGGGAATACATGCAATTGTAAGTCTTGTTTTGTGAAGCTCTAGCAGACAGTTTCCCTGTGAACATGTGTTTTTTCTTCTTTTACCATTACTGTGATGGAATGCATTCATTTTAAGTATTGAACTATCCTGAAATCCAGAATAAACACCACCTATAGTATATAATGCTTTTCTGTATATTGCTAAATTCTGTTCGATAACATTTTGCTAAAGGACTTTAACATCTGTTTTCCTAAAGG